AAATAGCCTAAACACCCTAATTTATGTAAACTCGTTCACAGTGGCGGATTAAGACTTCTCGGGACCCGGTGTCGGGGTAAATTAGGACTCAGGAAATTATGACTTCGAAAATCTTAATTCCCCGGTAAATTAGAACCTTTCGAGTTTAGATTTACCAGGAAATTAAGATTGGAACGGTAAATTAGGACTCCAACAATTTCTTGAAATTGAATATCATTTCGCTACAGGGTGAACTGAAATCACATCGCGCAACGCATAAAAAATTATGTTAAAAATGCACAGAAAACTGGTTGTAACTATAACTATGACTCAGTAAAAGATAAGACAAATACTTCTAGAATTTCTAAGAGATCTTAAAGAGCGCCAGAGATGGAATAACGTTTTCCCAATAGACAATATACCATATAAACATTACACTGTAGTTTGTGCAAAACATTTTCCATCAAACTTCCAAGTTATTAAAGTAAAAGGAAAAGAAAATCCTCGAGATCCACCTTGTGTATTTGAATTAATTTAGAGTTTAGTGCAATCTCATCCACTAGAAAAAGAACAACAACAATAGGTAAAAGCTCTATTAGAAAGCTTAAAGAGTCTCTTAGATCAGTAAAAGAAGATGAACTTTCAAAATTCGTAGAGTTTGACGAAGTTGATTCATTTAGTATATTTTGCAGTTATTTATCTCAAGGAAGACTTAATGATTCATTAGCTTATCAATTTATTTATTTTTTGAATAGATGTTTGCAATCAAAAGAGCATTAAAGCAATACTGGTATTAGTCTTATTAAATTGTGTCTAATAGTATTTAATAATTTGTCATATGAAACCTATCATGCTGGAGTTGTATTCAATATTACTTCATTAGTTAAAAATTGTATTTATAAGTTCAATAGTTGGTCACATCATTTGGATACTTGATTTCTTTTAAGAAGTCAGAAAAGAAAACAATTTTACGTCAGCAGGTTGAATGCATAAGTTGAACTCAAGTAACATTTTTTAGCAAAAATATTCACCTGAAGTTATTGTTTGAGCTTTCGAACATTTTGCACTGTTACATAGTTTATATGATCAATTAAGAAATGATTTTTATCTTCCTGACACTTATAAACTTCAAAAGTTTCACACTTTTATTTGTAGTGTTTTTTTAAAACTCAACAAAATAGTCAAAAAAACTGTATGTTATTACTAGATGAAGTTTATGTTAAACCTATGCTAACTTATCACGGGGACATTTGTTTGGTAAAGCAAATATTTTAACCAGATCACCTTGTTTTGAAGCTTTTTTGATGTGAACCGTAAAGCAGTAAACAATGAATCAAGTTTTGCAGTAATATATAAAACATTTTAAATATATATATATATTCATATTTTACATTAATATACTTACTGGCACTGGATCCAAAACATACAAGAAAAACTCTCTAATGGGAATAAACTTATTTATTGATTATTTTTGATGTGTTTTGATATAATAAAGAGTACTTTTGTAACTGATTTTCCAACAGTGTTAGTTTTGTTATGGAAAATATGGTTATGTTTACAAATTTCTGAACGTACAGAAATTGAAAAATTCAAATTAATTAGTCTATTTAATAATATTTGCCGCTCGGAAATATAAGTCACGAGTATTACTCGTGTATTAATTTGCTCGTATTAGCACTTATATGCGTTAGGAGTATTATTTGCTCGCATTAGCGCTAATATGCGTCACGAGTATTACTCGTGTATTAGTTTTGCTCGTATTAGCGTTAATAAAAAAAATATTAAAAAATAGCTAGTTGTTAATTTTTGTGTCTGGTTATAGTTATTCTATAGAAATCTATATAATTAAAATAAATTAAAATAAATTAAAATAAATTAAAATAAAATTAAAATAATTAAAATAATTAAAATAAAAGGCTCCATCGAGAATTTACTAAAAAAGTATGCAGGTTTTACACACAAAAAAAGAAAAAAAAAAGTTTTTTTTTAATTTAACAAGTTAAATTAAAAACCCCCTGAATATGTTTAACAAGTGTTAGATTATTGAATTTTTTTATTGCAAAATGCAATCGATTCTGCAAACAAAAACAAATTTAAAAATAGAGCTGACAAATACCTGAACATTTGAAACTAAAATATATTTAACAGCTATTTTTATTGACTATAACAGCACTATGTAGTTAAAAACTGCATAGTGCTGTTATAGTCAGCACTATGTAGCTTTCCCAAGCAGCAAACAATATTGGCGCAATATTGGCGCGATATTGTCTACAATATTGGCGCAATGTTGTAAACTATATCGCGCCAATATTGCAATGTCAACATTTTGCCAATATTGGCCAATATTAGCGGTACAATATTGCGCCAATATTGTTAAGTCAATATTGGCCAATATTGGCAAAATGTTGACATTACAATATTGGCGCGATATCGTTTACAATAATGGCACAATATTGTAAATACAATACTGGCCAATATTGGCGTAATAAAGTTATATTGTTTTTAGAGTTAAACAATAAAATGTTATTTTTTTAAATTTTTTTATTTATTCGCCAGAATATCTACAAGGTAAATTTACATTGAATATATTACCGGCAGGGCTTCTAGAAGATCACAGTTCTATCTAATATGTAAAATAAATACAAAAAAAGTGGGCATTTAAATGGGTCAAAAATACAACATAATATTCTATCTAATATGTAAAATACAAAAAAAAAAATTATATATAAATAAATACAATGTTCTATGTAATATAATATATTATATCAGGTAGAACATTTTATATTTTTATATTTATATATACTTTTTGTATTTATTTTATATATTAGATAGCATATTTTATTTATTACATTTGAAGATAGAACAAGATAATACAGAGGGGATTAATTGTTTAACCCGAAAGAATAATGCAGCCTATAGTCTATACTATATTTTTGTATATAGTTTAGACTATAATTGTATATAACTTGAGTTATAGTCTAGAAGGCGATAATAATCTAGGAACGCTTTGAAAAAATGAGACTTTTTAAAATCTAATAATAAATTTATTAGAAGTTATATTAAACTGATACAAATGAATATATATATATATATATATATATATATATATATATATATATATATATATATATATATATATATATATATATATATATATATATATATATATATATATATATATATATATATATATATATATATATATATATATATATATATATATATATATATATATATATATATATATATATATATATATATATATATATATATATATATATATATATATATATATATATATATTACAGCGTTACACTCTCACTATCAGATAGTGGGCATTGATTTTCATTATCTTGGCGACATTCATTTTCATCGCTCAATAGTGGGCTTTGCTCAATTGCGGTTCTATTCTTTCTTCCGTCTTCTCTATCAATGGCCGTTGCCAGAAAGCTGCTGATTCTTTCTTTAATACTTTTGTCATTAGCGTTTTCAAATTTTTGTTATGGCAGCTGCAAACAAATTTTAAGTTGACAATGTTAAACAAGACATGAACAAAATGTAATCAAAAATTATCAAACTTATTATTTCAACTAAATACGTAGATAAATAATTAAATAAATTATCTATAACCACCTTGCACCTTGTAAGAGGCGAAAATGATTTCTTTTGTTTCCTGCCATACATAGAGTATAACAAGCATACTTTTTTAGCCATTAGTTGTTTTAAGATAGCTGTGGTAAGTTGCTTGTAATCGTCGCCTCCAACCAATGCAAGGAAGTTCATCTAAAACAAAAAAAAAAACAAAAAAAATCGAGTTTGTTTATTATTATATTCAAAAATATATAATTGGTTGTAATAAAAGTTTAATGGTTCTATAAATGTGTGTATTTCGAACAGGTTTCCATAATGTTACAACTTCATTATCTATAATGAGATATTCAAATATGAAACGGAGAAAAAGCAATTTGTTACAAATAGATGCAATCTCTGAGGTCAACCTGTTTTGGTGATCAAAACTTATTGTCATAAATGTTTTATAAAGTGATAAAAACACTAGGAAGAATACCACACAAAATTTTATACAGGTTTATGAGCTTCTCATACCCCTACCAATAATTACATAATATATTGTGTAAAAAATCTGATACTATAGTATCAGATTTTTCATTCACTAGCATAGGTTGTCTTTACAACAGCAAAAAAATCGGGGTAAATGCAATTTCAAGTATCTAATGTGAGGCTTCCTATGATTAGTAGGCTCATTGCTCTACTAAATGAGTTAACTGGGCATAAATGGTTAAAACCACAACACAATTTAATAAATATACTGTATATAAAGCATTCTTTTCCGTATCTTAATTAAAATCAAATGTATAGTTTATTTTATACTATACATTTATTTTTATCTTTGTTCCGTAATTTTTCATCCAGGTCTAGAAGTTCTTTTTCCTCTTTAACAGGCAAATAATTCCATTTAACTGATTGGGATGGTCCTACTATGCTCTGATTGCTAACAGAAGGAAACACTAAACCTTTTTCTAAAGTGATTAGGCAAGTGTTTAACTTTTTCAAATCATATTGAATACTGACAAGCAACTCTAAACTTTTCTTCTCAAATGCTGCAATAAAAAAATAAATCTGACTTTAATAAATACCAATTAAATAGATTAGCTTTTTATTAAAGTTAATGCAAAAAACTAAGAAAAAAATAGTATAATTACATTCAAAAATATATTAAAGAGTACATTTAATTAAACCTTCAAACAAATAACCCATCAAGGTAATCCTTTACCAGGAAATCGGGTGCCTAAAGCAGCCACAACAGCTGCCAAGCTCTGATCAGAAGAGGAAAATATCAGTAGAGAACGATTCGAACTAAATGGCTCAATATATCGAACAGTTATGGGTTGTAAAATATTTTGGCAATTAAAAGATTTCTTCAATCTTGGGGAAACTGATGGATATGTCTCCTCAGTGTCAATTGTATTACAAACTGCTAACTTTTTAGCTGGTGGAATGGACAATTTTTCATCGCATCAGCAGCTGTTTCAACGCTTGATGTGAACTCTAACATTTCCATTTGTTCTACAGCAGTTTCATAACTGTATAAAAAATTTCAAGAAAAAATAAATATAGCTGTTCAGATCATTAGCATCTAGCATGTGTGTAACATAAAATTAAACAAGGAATAAAAACATAATAACGACACTTACCAAAATAATAAAGAACTCTTATTTTTAGCTGTTTCCAGTTACTTACAGGAGTAAGTGTTACTTCGCGTATGGCAGTTAAAAGGCGAAATGATCGCAAGTGATTTGGCCAACACACTAAACTTTCATTGATCAGCCATGACAAACAGATAACGTCCATGGCACACATGCTTTTTTTTTTTTTCATCAAGAAATTCAACTACAGCAAATTTTTTAAACTTTGCTTCCATCTTCATTTTTACTGTACAACATGTGTATAAAAAAAAACATAAACAAATTTGAAAAAATAAAAAAAATTAACAAGCGTAAAAAAAAAAAAAAAAAGTTTTTAGTTTAGTGGTTCCACACTTGTGTGTAGTGAGTGACTGGGGCCCCAGCCTCAGCTAAATAATAGTTTTAGCAGTAGTTATAAGATGAGGCTAGGAATTTTTTTTTATGCTATTTTATTTTTTAAGCTATAAAAGTTAAATAATATTTATAAAAAAATCTATAAAAAGCTATAAAAGTTGTAAAAAAGCTATAAAAAAAATTTAAAAAAAGCTATAAAAGAAGTTAAAAAAAAGCTATAAAAGTTAAATAATATCTATAAAAATATCTATAAAAAGCTATAAAAGTTAAATAATCTGTTATGAAAGGTAAAAAATATAGGAAAATCACAAATAATATATAAAAATATATATAGATTCAGGATCCCATACATTGTAATAGTTTAAATTAGGTGGTACAAAGTTTTCAGGAGCCCCACATAAATATGTAGTATATGAAAGTGCTCTTAAATTGTATTTTAAAAAAAGAAGTGTTTCAAGATTTTTTGTTTTGAGTCTAATACGTTCTTGTTGTATTGATTTCAAAACTTTAAACTCACATTCACTTGTAGTTGGGCTTGGAAGTGAATTTATATTTTTTTATATTTATATTTAATTATAAATATAAAATAATATAAAATTTAATAATAAATAACATTTTAGAAAGAATTTAAAATCAAAAGTTGTTTATTTAAAATAAAAATAATTATTCTAATATAAAAAAGAATAGCCTTTATAAAACTATTACAGTTTTAAATTTTGTTATAACTTTTGTATTACTTTTACATGATTATTTAATATTATCATTTTTATTACTATTATTATTACTATTTTATATTATTATTGTTATTATTATTTCAATCAGCCAAATAATCATAAGAATTTTTATATAAACATATTATGATTAATAACTCATCACTGAAGTTTATTGCAGTTTCGCAGTTAAGTAATTCATTTGTATTTTCAGCATCACTTATTGAGTGAATTTCATTTAAATGTTGCTTCACTAATCTTTTAATATAATGTGATTTAGCAGATCAAGTTGAAGATATTGATTTTTTCATTACCTATAACTTTGTATTACACTTATACATTTAATAACTTATTTAAAATTTATTCATTTGCAAACTTATTAAATGGTAAATCATATGACGTATTTGTTACTTAATTGAATACCTTTAACAAAACAAATATATATACAAATCTTGCAGATGGAATTAACCCAAATTGTTTTTATATAAAAGTAAACTTACTATTTCAACCTTTATCTTAAAATACAGAAATTTTTTTCCACTTCTTCTCGTGATACAATCTCTAAATTTTCAATTAAAAAGATTTCTTCACTTTTACTACTTTTTCTCGTGATACAATCTGTTTTTAAATAAAAAAACAACCACTTCTTCTCATGATTCAATCTGTAAATGTTGTATTAGAAATACTGTGAACATCAAAGGACAAAACTATAGTTTTGTCCTTTGATGTTCACAGTACTTCTTTATAAAGGACATTATGAACAAGCGATAATGTTACGCATGCGTACCAATATGTAAAAATGTCAATATTGGCCAATATTTGAGTAATGAAAACAAAATAATATTGGGCCAATATGGGCAAACAATATTGCACCAATATTCGCATATCAATATTGGGCAATATTGGCATGTCAATATTGCGCCAATATTATATTCCAATATTAGGAAAATAATATTTGCGTAATATTGGTATGATAATATTGGCCAATATTGAAATGCCAATATTGGCGCAATATTGTTTGCCAATATTGGCGCAATATTGTTTGCCAATATTGGCGCAATATTGCATATCTTACCCAATATTGCGCCAATATTGCGCCTATATTGTTTGCTACTTGGGTTGACTCACTAAACTTAAATAGTTTGTGCAGCATTTTTTAATTATATGTATTAGACAACGATTCTGCCGGTAAAAAAGCATTTGAAATACTAGTAAGGGAGTGAATCCTTAAAAAGTACCGTCTGGTTCTTAAAAAAAACAAACAACTAAAATTAACATATAGCAACTTGAGTGTTTTATTGCTTTTTTTTTTTAAAAAAAGCGTTATTCTTAAATTGATAAACTTGACAATAGAAATTTGTCTAATAGATTTTTTGCTTGTGGGTATATATTTATATTTTTTTTGTTAAAATATTCACAGAATACCCAAATACTGTGACCTTAAAACGCATATTTTTGAAAGAAAAAAATGAATTTTATAAATTTTTATAATAACTACAAGTTTATTGGAGTAAAAAATTTTCGAAAATTCTCAGAAATTTTGAGCAAAATTTCCTAGAAAATTTCCGGAAAGTTTAAACCGTTGTAAATTTTAAAATTTTTATGCGAAAATTGTTTATTTTTATATTGCGTAAAATATCTGCGATTACAACATACACAACCTAAAAGTAATTATCAAAATAGGTTCTGTGTTATTTATAGTAAGTTTACTAATAAATTAATGGACATAAATCACAGCAAAACTGTAACATGATAAGGCACATGGGAAGGCTATAAATAAATGGGAGTATAGTATTGTTTTAAATTCCTCTAATTATTGTGATTAGAAACAAAGTATTTTGGACTTCTACTTAAAGATTTCATCATTTCCATTTGATATCCAAAGAAAGTTGAGTTAACAAGTATGCTTGTTTTTAATTACAAAAGATTTTGAAAATTGGATAGTTGTAAGTTTTAGATAAACAATTTAAATAAATTAATAGCTTTTTAAAAATATTATTTAAACAATAAAAAAAAAAAAAAAAAATCTTTTTATTAAGACTGTTAACTTTTTATATACTTTTAACACTGTAAATAATATTAAAATAATATAAATATAGGGTAATACATAAGATAAGGAAGAAACTAGACAGATTTTAGTATACTTTCGGATTTTTTTTTTTTAAATCAATAATTCTTTTTCTAAATATCAAAATTAAATTAAAATTCATGATTATGTTTTTTCTAGTGAAAGAAAACATGTTATGAAAACAGGTTAAACACTTTTTTTTTCAAAAAAATAAAATAATTTAAAAGTTTCATAAAAAATATTTGAATCATCAAAAAAAGATTTTTTGGTATCTCAGATATTACTTTCAAAAATCATACAAACTCTAAATTTAAGTATGTTCAAGCTTATGTTAATTGTTTTACAATAAACTAGATGATCAAAGATTGGGAGCAAAAATAACTTTAATGGTTTTACCACCTATCCCAAATCTGAGTGCAATGAATTGATACATTTAATTTTTTACTATTTTATGTTAAATTTAAATTCAACTTAAAGTTTTTAATTTTATTATTAATAATCTTTAAGTTTTTGAAAGTTCTGAACATGTAAAGTTTCCAGACCCCCTAAATGAGGGGGTTGCATTGTTAACTCCCTTCTTTTATTTATATAAAAGAATGTTTTATATTCTGATACCAAAAATAAAAAATAATTTTATATTTTAAATATAAAACTTTTAAATATTTTTTTTATGTTTAAAAAACAAAAGTTTAATTGTGAATTTGAACTTTAATTGTGAATTTAATTTATTTAACTTGAGATGAAAAATAAACGATGATAAACATGAAAAAATTAAGTACAAAAAGATGAAAAAAACCATATTAACAAGCATACAGCAGATAAACATGAAAAAAGTGGTTTTACAAAATCATTCTTAAAACTTTTTTTAAAGTAAAGCATGTTTGCAATGTTGTCAGTTATATAAGATGGTTTATTTTCTATGCATTTTGTTTGTGATGAATCATTGCGTTCCATGATTGGTGATTAATTTTAGAATATAAACTTACTCGGTATCATAAATTGTATAAATTAAAGCCAGTATTTGCACTGAAACAAAACTAATTTAAAAAAATAATTAAAGTTATATAAATATGTAACACTGTTTATAAACATTAGCTGTTTAAGATAACTTATACATTTGTTGTTTATAACCTTTAACATTCATTTTGTAAATCAAATCAAAAAGATTTTCCAAAAATTATCTAGAGCCCAACTTCTGAGAAAAAATACAAGATTTAGTAAACTGGTAATAATGGAGCTTACTACCAGACCTTTTTACATTGGTTTCTTGAAATATTAATAAAGACTCTTTTAGACAAGGTGCAAAAATATAGTGTAAACATAGCTGGACCTAATCTTGCAGCCAACCTCCAACTATTATCACATCGTTGTAATGTTGCTTCTCTTTTTTTTTTCTATAAACACTACTCTATAACACTTTTCTATAACATTGCTCTAAAAAGCTAGCGTCTTTTGTGCCATCTACTAAAATTCATTTTCGTATTACTCGTCGTTGAATTATGTCTCATTATTTTACTGTGACTGTTCATAAATGCTACAAAAATTTTTATTTGTTTAGTTTTTTTTCTCGAACATCAGTTCTTTGGAATTTGCTTCCTTCATCTTGTTTACCTAAATCTAATTTGCAATCTTTTAAGTTGTCTGTTAATTGTTATCTTGCTCTATAAGCTTCATATTTGAAAAAATCATATATATATATATATATATATATATATATATATATATATATATATATATATATATATATATATATATATATATATATATATATATATATATATATAGATCAAATAATAATAATAATAATAATAATAATAATAATAATAATAATAATGATAATAATAAAATTTAGCTCTTTCTATAACTATTCAAGTTAAATATTAATTATATATTCAAGATTGAAATACCTTGAATCAATAAGCCTTATTAAACAGTTTGTTGATCTCCCATTTGTTAACATTGACTCTGTTGTAAGTTTTAGATTTTGGAAATTAGATTTTTTACCTGTAATTTCTATAATTCTATCCTAATTTTTGATCCTACTGCTTCTAGTAATTTTAATGCACTTTTAAATATAAAAATAAAGTTTTCTTCATTTTGTTGCCTTTTATTTAATACATTTATGGTATGTTTAAGAATGGTTATTGCATATTCTTTATCTAATGTTTTTTTTGAAGAGCCTCACTTAAAAAGACTGTGGTATTTAACAGATTGGATAATACACAAAGTATTAATACAAACAACGGCTCAGATATTGCATTTTTTAGTAATGCCTTTGTTGAAGAATTCCATTCTTTTCACTGAGATATCAAAAGTTTATACTATTTTTATTAATATAGATCTAAAGTTTAACACATAATCATGCTGTTCAATCCATCTCGTTTCACATAATCTTGAAAGGATTTCCTTATTTTTATATTTAAGCATGTATTTTGCTTTAAAAATTCATAATACTTTTTCATTGTTCCAATTGTATTTCTTACAGCTTGTACAGACAAAAATTTGGAAAAAGTTTGAAGCATGGTTATATTATGGACTTTATATTGTGTTTGTTAGGATCTTCTGTAGTTTTGTGACTGCTCCATTGTTTTCACCTAATATAAAGCATTCTCCAGTTGCTACAGGTTTATTAGTAAAATCAGAATAATCATAAAAACAAAATAATAATAATAAAAAAAAAAAAAAAAAAAAAATCTTCTCAGATTAAACAGTTATTATTATAGTAAACATATTTTAGTACAACTGTTATTTGAGAACTATGACTGGTATTCTTGTTTCATCAAATATAAGTCAATAAAATTTTTCTTTCTAAATTCTTGTTTTAATTAAATCAAAGTTTAGTTATTTCATTTTCAACACTTTTACTTTTGCTTTAGAATTGCAGTTATTTAATTGTTTTTTTTTAAATATTGTCCCCAGTGCTCACTCAAAAATAAAGCATTTCATGAAAATTACCAACAATATTTACTGTGAAGAGTTTTCATTTGTTTCAATGATTGGTCCATCATTTTATGATCAATGTTCTGATGACCAAGAAATCTTATAGATTCTATTATCAGCGTTAATCTATCTTAATTTTCTCAAGTTTGTTAAAGCATCTTTTCATTAGTTAAATTATGTACATCTATAGACCGGCATGCATATGTTCTGATAAAATCTGATGCTGTCAACCCAGCAACTTTGTGATATGCATAGATATACAATTATGTAATTTTATATCTTTATCCTTACATCCAATAGCATTGAATAGTTTTTTAGAGGTAAAGTATTTTGCTTGAATAATGCTATTTGACTATGTATTCCCCCAACTTTTGTAAAAAGAAAGCAACACTTACAAAAATATTCATTAAGGCATTCTGAAATCATTATCCAAGGGAATTTATGTATATGTTTCACTGACACAATGCAATTAACAATCTCACCTTTCCTCGAATGCACAGAATATGAATATTTGTAGTTGGACCAGGAAACTAATTGGATTTCAATATTTGGTATTTATCTTGAC